CTTGAGCCCAGGAGTTGGAGGTTGCTGTGAGCTGTGGTGCCACGGCACTCTGCCCAGGGGGATAGCTTGAGGCTCTGTCTCAAAAAAAAAATAAATAAATAAAAAGAATCCCCGCTCTGGCTCTGCCACTTGGGACTTGGGACAATTCCCTAATCTCCTCAAGCCTCAGGTTGTATATCTCTGAATTGGGATGATGGTTGTGGTTTAAAAGGGCTACGTATATATAATGCTCTTAGAGTAGTGCCTGGCACTGCCAATGCAGGCCCCAGGTGTAGTCATTATCATCCTATTACTATTCTCAGAGCTGTTTTTGACCTTAGGGTCTCTCACTGTTGTCTGCCCTTTCTAGCACTGGTGTGTGTGTTTACTGGGAAGATACTGCCTCTCTCAGATGCCTCAGGGGGCATGTAAGCAGACCTCCGGTTTATGGAAATGGGCTGCTTTTCACCATGAGTTGTAGATGTCATCTGCCACGTTTCCGCCTACCCAGAGATGGGAAATGTGGGAACATTGATTATGAAAATCAATTGGGACATTGGTTTTTCCCAAGAAGCAAAAAGAACTTCTGATCCTGAAGGAAAGAATAACTATATGTATTAAGAGCGATAAGAGCCATTTCATTAAAAGTGATCAAAAGAGAGATTACCCCAGAGATTCTTTAAAGTATACCAAAGAAAAGGGCCTAATTATTAGCATGACTTGAGAGAAAAGGGTGAGCATTTCACCATCATGTAAAGAATCATGGTTTGATACAGAGAGAACCTTCTGATATTTGTACAAAATATGTGTTCCCTCAGGATTTTTTTTCTTACCATGACTATCTCGGGCTTACTCTAATAACTAGTATTATATCATACTTAGGGCACACTTCTCTTTGAAAATAAGAAATAGTTGATGTCACAGGTCCTCTGTGCATTTCAGCTTTCTTTTTTTTGAGACAGAGCCTCAAGCTATCCCCCTGGGTAGAGTGCCGTGGCATCACAGCTCACAGCAACCTCCAACTCCTGGGCTCAAGCG